GTATAATGAGTTCAGTAATCCATAATTAGCTAAAACTAAGAACGGATATTGTGTTTAATTGACTAATGTCTGAAAACAATATGCAATGTTAAACATTAAACATCAAGAAATTATTCTTACGGTTATTTTATTATCCCTAATTACTGTGACAATCACTCACGCACAAGTATGATCTCGTCACAGCTACTCAAATTCGCCCACTTCGCACATATCACTTCTGCCATTATATGGTGTGAGGAAGTACTTTACAGGCAATCGAAATTCCGTATACAGTGGATGATGAGAGCTAGGGCATAACCAGCACTGGTTTGCAAATTACAACCCTACTGTGGGTGAAGAAAGTATGTTGGTCTAAACCTATATCATCAGAGAATTACACCTGCCCTGCGGCCTTGAACCACTCAACTCGTATTTATAACAGCGCCCAAAATATAGGGTTGCCGGGAAACCTTATAGATTTCAACTGTAAGATTTATCTGTAGCGTCCTTTGCAACGGTCACATTAGTCCTCTGTCCAGGGAACCCTCTGGAAACGACTTTGAGTGGCTATTGCTACCCAGACGGAGAAAATATGGTTAAACACTATTATGTAACACATGATAATGTCCCTCCGTCGTAGAAAGAAAATTTTACTGTCGAGAAATAAAGGCAGTATTAATAGTGTCTAACAGTTAACCTTCTGCATTAGAATACGTTAAGTTCACCGTTAAGATAATTCGATTGGACTCATGAATAGATTTAATTACTTGCAATTAAACAGTTATAGATTTGAAAATATATAAATATATAGTTAAAACAAAGGCAACTAATTAACTATAATATTATATCAAATTATCAAATAACCTCGTGCACCGAGATATATTCACAGGATATTTAAAATATACAATGATCACCGTTTAGAAATATCAAAGTAATATAATAAGAGCTGTCCTAGTTATATTAACTTTGATTTTAGCTGAGACGAAAATAAAGAACCAACACAACAACCTTGATCTCGGGAGGTCATGGGTGAAAAGGTACTTCAATGTACCTTTTCCTATTCATCAGCTGTGGGAGAGCATCTACCACTCTGTAAAGAGATCTCTGGACAGTAATATATAGAGTTAACTAATTGATGGTTCGTTCTTCTACCTAACCATTTTCCTGATATTTGATTTTTTTTTCTATTAATATATAATTCAAGATACAAATTCTAGCATGTTTTAAAGCTATTGACCGTACTAATAACCGTAGCCTAAACTATATATCAAAAAGTACATCCTGTATGCTGCACAAAGTGCGGAACTGTAATAGTACTGAAAGCGTTCAAATAACATTTTATTATTTATTAATTTGGTTATATAAGGCATATTAGCAGTGACATTAACTCTCTTACATGCATAATATTGAGTTCTAGGATTCTCACTAGGAGTATGCACCTTCATGACTATTCCTTACGCCAGGGTCAACTGCTACGATGGCGACACATTATATGATTCTTTTACATCTATTTAACAACCTAATATGAGGATACATAAAAATAAATATCGATCATAACATAACGATCTCACAGCAGAGAAGACTTAAAATTATAACAGACTTTTACTTCTGAGCGATCACTGAGCTTGAGAATACTCCCAGATCAGCTATCTCTCAACTATAAACCCCAAGAGTATACAAATCATATATAAGGGAAGGTAGTCCTAAGACCTCACATTTACCAATGCAAAACAGTGTATAAGTAGTAAATACAGATCACGGTAGTTATCGGTCACACGACTACCAAAAAACCACAGCATTCACAATCCATCAAGCGGAAAACAGAGCAAGGCCATTACTGGTCAAATAACCTATCATAGAAATGCACTTGGCCTAGCGTAGATGAGTCTTAAGAAGGCAGTGAACCCCCATCACACAGTGAGATAAAAGTTGAGATGTGGTGGATATGCTCGAATATGAGAACTTCTCGATGCCATAAATCAGGTTAGACCTCTTCAGACTCAATTATTCACGGCATAAAACAATGTGAACACATGGTCCAGGAGCCACAAGAACGTGATTCGGGGTACTATATATAAACGAACGAGATAGAGGACAATCATGTGCAAAAAACGTTTCCGAAGGCAAAGAACCCCTGACAACTTAGACCTCCTAAGGGAAGCTGCCAACAGAGTCAGGCAGGAAAAGTGGCTGGAATAGAGTATTTTGACCACCAGACCACCTTCACAGAGCTGTGGAACTAGGTCAGGCAAGCTACCAGCTGCTCAGCCTAGAGATGCCTTCATTGCGACCCTCAACCAGAGGCAGACAGCATGGTAGAGGAGTTCTCTGCGAGAACAAGCAGCAACAGTCTGCCAGCTGAACTGAGGGCAAAACAACGCCTACAAGCAGGCAGGCTTGATCAGCGACAAGACAGCTGAGCCTAACAACTCAGATGCCCTCTTCTCTCTGAGAGAACTAAAAAGCATACAAAACCAATTCTGGCTCAGCACCAGGCTCTGATGGGATCTGCTATCCCATTATCTCCCACCTTGGGCTACCAGGTGAGCTTGCATTCCTGCAGCTCATCAACAAGTCTTGGCAAGCTTCCACTCTACCTTAGAGCTGTAAAAATAGCCGACATAGTTTCACATCCCAAAAACCAAAGGAGCCATCTTCTCAGCTGTCTGGGTAAGCTAGCCGAGAGGATGGTACTAAACAGGCCCTGGTGGGAACTGGGACCCCCACATGAATACCTCCATGGGTTCACAAGGGGCATGAGCCCAACGACACACAGCACATAATGCATTTTAATCAATCAGCACTGCTCCCTCTGTGGTAATATTCCTAGACCTAGAGAAGGCTTTTGAACTAGCAAGTCCTATTGCTTTTCAGAACCTTATCCATAAGGGAATCAAAAGTAGACTCTTGGCCTGGATGCAGCTATTTCTAGGAACAGAACAGCCAAAGTCAGATTCTAAGGTCCACCATATTAACAGCACGTGCCGCTAAAAAAATGGAAACGACCACGTATTACGCAGTGTGTTATTGCCTCAGTTCCAGGTCCTTGTCATCAGCCTAATGTCTTGCCTCCTCAACATACACCTTCCAGACGGGTGTAAGATCATCTATTATGCAGACGATCTTGCAAATAGCTCAACTGGTCAACACTGCCTAAGAAGAGCCCAGTGCTATCTGGACCTTGTGTCTGAAGAATGTTGTAGGTCAGTCGATAAGAGATTCTGCAGCAAAATCAAGGCCTTGACTCTGAGGCTTAAATGTAAAAGTCCAAAAAACCCGTGTCCAGGGAATCGATCTAGAACAGGTAAAAGTCTTCCAATACATTGGGGTATGGGTCGACTGCACACATTAAAAAAGGATATCCAGTACCTCTATCACCGAACAAAAGCAAGACTGTATCATGAAAGTAATGACAGGGAGACACAGGAGCAGGACACCAAGTACATAAGAGCTCCTAAGAGAACTGAAGAGACAGTCCAAAATTTTATCATTTTGGGCCCTGCCCTAGACACCTGAATTAATCTAATGGCAACATCTTTTCTTACAAATGACATCCAGGCACCCCAGAACACATATATGAGACGAAAAGTACTCAGATGCCTTCAAGATTATAAGCCCTTTGCAGACAATTCCTGGCTAAGACATAGCTGCTGCTCAAGGGCATTGACTCCCTCACCTGTTACAACTGAGTCTGTATAGATTACATTAATAGCCCGGCACCTTTTTCTGCTCTCTCTCTTTCTTTCTTTCTATATTTATTCTTAGGATGTTTTTCTACTAAAATATCTATCAGAAATACGCAATATTGAAATTATATAAACAAGCAAAACTTATATACATTTAGAACCCATATTGATGATAATTTAGGCATTATATAAATATATACATATATATATGTGTGTGTGCGTGTGTGTGTGAGCATTTATAATATATAGCAACCTATACACTACTGCCTATTAAATGACAATGACTTGGTCACTAGGGAAACATATACTGACTCGAAATGACTCGAGTTGAGGGAGGTCATGAGAATGGGCTCTTATAAACACATCACTTTATTCCAAAAAGCTTAACGTCTGATGCAATACTTATACAGTACAAAATTGTTTATTGTGTATATTTATATTATATGAATGTTAATAAATTCTGAATTAACGCAATTATGGTGAACCAAAACAACTATTCAATAAATATGTTCAAGTTGATAGATTTCATTCCGCTATATGAGGAAATGCATTACGTATAATAATATCACAATATCTCGTGCATTAGAGGATACAAACATCTAACACCGAGAATCACACACAAAAAAAGACAATATTTCAATACTCAAAACATAAACGTTGAACAAATGGTCAATGATAAATAGCATAGATTTTTAACGTCGCACCAAAAATTAGGAACAAACAAACAAAAAAATATGAAACCTTCACGACAAATTATAATGACAATGAAACATCGACATATTCTTTTTTACTTCTTCCGTAATGCCTCCAGCTTCCCAGTCTTCCTGCATCGGCGGAGGGAAATGCTGCAAACATCCCACAGGAATTCCAGCACTTCGAGTATGCTGACCAGAGACACGCCAATATGAACAGGCGAGGGAAAACCGCCAATGTTGCTCAGGAGAGTGTCCCCACTGGCGAGGAAGAAAGAACAGGAATTATTTTGTTAAAACACAGTTCGTAAAAGCGAGAGTTCTTCGTTTACTCTCAGTGGAATGAACATTCCAAGCGATTTAAATTGAAAGTTGGTAACCTTATATCACAGGAACTTTCCAAATGTATAAGTGAGATCAGATCACTTTAGTTCACTGAAACATTCCCTATGTATATATTAGTGAGACCGTAAAACTTGTCTCAACGGAATCATCCAAATGTATGCAAGAGGAGAAGCTGAGTTTTACTATTTTCGGTTCATGTGTCTACTTACAACTATAGGCATGCTGTAGGTCAGATACGTATAAAATACAACGTAATTTACCGTATAAGCCGGCGTTTCTTATCTAACACTAAACAATGTTACCCGTAAAAGAAGTACATGGAGCCCAGATAATTACTAGCACTCAGTAGTTCTGTGTCACTGTAAAAGAATCAAAGGTCTCATTCAGTATCCGACCCTCTTTCCAGTATGAAGAAATCTTTACTGCATACAGATATGTAGTAAAATATTCTCTCTGTCTCTTTCCCATTCCCTTCCCCTTCCCTTTCCGCTGCCCTTTCCTTTTCCCTTTCCCACTTCGTCTCCTTCCTCCCTCCTACCCCCTCTATCCCTCTTCCTTACGCTTCTCTCCCCCTCTCTCCTTCTTTCCCTCCCTCACACACTGACAGTTAATAAACCGGCCCAGATAACAAAACCACTCGGCACTGACTTCGAACACAAGCTGGGACTTTCTTTCCTCGTCTGGCCCAAGAGTAGCTGAAGTACGTGTCGTCTATTTTGCTGGAAGTCACTTGCGATTGGTACTTCATCTCTCTGGAAAGAAAAAAAATTAAAAACACACATACATACTGCACACATACATACATACATACATACATACATACATATTATATATATATATTATATATTATATATATATATATATATATATATATATATATATATGTGTGATATATGTGGTGTGTGTGTTTGTGTGTGTGTGTGTTGTGTGTTGTGTGTGTGTGTGTGTATGTGTGTGTGTGTGTGTGTGTGTGTGTGTGTGTGTGTTGTGTGTGGTTGTTGTGAGTGTGTGTGTGTGTAGTGTGTGTGGTGTGTTGTGTGTGTGGTGTGTGTGTGTGTGTGTGTGTGTGTGTATGTATGATATGTATGTATGTATGTATGTATGTATGTGTGTATGTATGTGTGTGTGTGTGTGTGTGTTGTGTATGTGTGTGTGTGTGTGTGTGTGTGTATGTGTGTGTGTGTATGTTTGTGTGTGTGTGTGTGTGTGGTGTGTGTGTGTGTATGTGTGTGGTGTGTGTGTGTGTGTGTGTGTGTGTGTGTGTGTGGTGTGTGTGTGTGTATTAGATATACACATATATATATTTATACATATGTGTGTGCGTCTCTCTCTCTTTTCTCTCTCCTTTCTCTCTTCTCTCTCTCTTCTCTCCTCTCTCTCCTCTCTCATCTTCTCTCTCTCTCTATCTCTCTTCTCTCTCTCTCTCTCTCTCTCTCTCTCTCTCTCTCTTCTCTCTCTCTCTCTCTCTCTCTCTCTCCTCTCTCTCCTCTCTCTCTCTCTCTCTCTCTCTCTCTCTCCTCTTATCCACATTCCTGCGCACTATCTTATGCTTGGGATAAAAAATATAAAATCTACTCTACATTCTCCAGAAGTTAAAACCTGTTTGTAAAATAAAATCACATGTGACTTACCGACAAGACTGAGGACAATCGCACTGGATTTTCTGCTCAATAACATCTCTTTTAACACGATCCATACATAACTCTAGAAAAATAATAAAAGGGATACAAAAATAAATACAAATAAATAAATAAAAAAGAACATACAAAATAAATATCATCACAGCTAGTAAAATAAATACACATTAACTCGAATTTCATCGCGTATATATCACAAATACAAACTATTTCATCATCACACACAATTTAACAAAATCGAAAACCCAAACCGTTCGTTCCTTCACATACTTTGCGAGGGCAGCTTTCCTTCACATCTCTCTTCGGGTTTGTAGGCCAGTGCTTCATATACCGGACTGAGGCCTATGGAACACCCACAACGCTGTCTCAGTTCTTGCTCTACGCACAGCTGATCACACAACTGTTCCATATAAGGGAAAGATTAGTGAGAGAAGTCAGCACAACAAACTTCTGAGGCGCTGCGAGCCCCTCCGATAAATCTTTTGGAAAATGATGTATCCTCTGAACATTTTTAAACTTCGACGAGAGCTATAACGGTGTAATTTAAAATATAAAAAAACAGTCTTGTAAAATATGTCAGCTTACTTACCAAAGGCGAATATTCAAAGGGTAGGTCTGTATCATAATATTTGTTGCACTCTCCATGAGGTTTCCCCAAGCGCTGATTTTCCGTCTGTGTCGAAAATAAAATGTAGAAAAGTTAAAATATAAGTAACTTAACAAACGCAAGGAATATCTTGCTTTGTGAAGTTATTAATTCTCATTTGTAACTCCCTATTTTTTTTCTTTCTTTCAATAAATTTTGAGAAGAGTAGAGAGGGCTTTAGAATTAAAACACTAACAATATTCATTAGTTAATATTGAAGTACACTTAAAATTTATAAACAAAAAGAAGCATCCTTAAATAATAATCAGCGCTATAATACTTAACATGCACCCTACCCCCCCCCCCCAAAAAAAAAAAAAAAAAGAAAGAAAAAAAATCATAGCAAAACTGAAACATCAAATTTACTCCAAGCTTAATCCGCAATACACAATGCATGCATTCATTAAAATCCTAAACAGAATTAGAAAATCTCCAAATCCCTAAACAAATAAAAAATAACAAACAACAAAAAAAAAAAAAGAATAAAAAAAATACTCTCAGCATAAACCTAAACATAAAAGAAAGAAAAAATACAAAAAGAAATCACCCTACCCTTGTGACGCTGACAGAGGAACTGCCAGGGCCAACGTTGAACCCTTCTTCTTCAGGGACAGGCAAGATAAAGGGACTGTGTATCACAACTCGCATGCCTCTTTCGGGGGAGAGCAGAGGCAAACCCACAGGCACGTTCAGAGTAAGTTGCAAGCCGTTCTGTGCAAAGAGGATAATGGGGCAGAGTGGTTAATTTGTGTGTCATTGGTTGACTTCATCACTAAATCCATCATTATTAGCAGTATTGTCACCGTCATTATCATCATTAATGTCATCGCTATCATTGTTGTTGACATTTTCGTGTTTTTGTTATAACTGGCACACATTTTGTTATAACACACACATTCGCATTTGGAAATATGAGGTCAAAATAGATCTAATTACATTTTTTTTTTTACAATCATGTAACCAACAAATATTACAATCTATCTTCAAAGCTTAAAATTTTAGATTCTGTTGACTTTCACCATCAAAGAGTGCTCATGCGAGTTCTTGTATTTTTTATTTTTTTTTTTTTACTGAAAACATTGAATTACAAAAGACTATATGAACATTTCATTAGTTTGTATTTCTGAAATTTGAAAGCGTGTTTTATAATTTCTCTCTCTCTCTCTCTCTCTCTCTCTCTCTCTCTCTCTATCTATCTATATATATATATATATTATATATATATATACACACCCAACCACCAACCCACACACGTAAGCACGCACGCACGCACGCACGCACGCACGCACGCACGCACGCACGCACGCGTACACACACACACACTCACACTGACAAACACACAAACACACACACACACACACACACACACACACACACACACACACACACACACACACACACACACACACACACACACACACACACACACACACACTATAAAGTGAAAGGATCGTACCTTTGGACCGACGTGTACGACTGTTCGAGGCTTGCTGTTGCCAGTGTGCATAAAACCGTTGAAAGTGTAGCACGTGCCGTAACGGTCACTCGTCCAGTTGTGGAAATGGCTGCAAAGAAATTACAAATGTATATATTAAATCAATGCAATGTATCGCTGAAGTATCAATACCATGAATAAGCAAACCATAGTATCCTTATCATCATCATCACTATCGCCATTTGCACACTCCTTCCTTCTACCAGTCACCACTTTCACCATTACAATCACCACTATCCACCCACGACCATCCCATTCACTCGGCTCCCCTGACAACCCACCTGTGATCACACGGCTGGTTGTCAAACGTGCACGAATACACCAGTTCTTCAGGAGAGACGGCGAACTCCTGCTGGTGGTCGTACGAGGGCCGAAACATCTCCTGTAGATCGATCAGGTCCGATTTTTTCTCCTGTTGTTTCAGTAGTAGTTTCAGCGACTTGGTTGTGAGGACACCTTCTAGTCTCTCGCTGTACACTGGAACAAAAAGTGGGGTTGAATGAATGAGAGAATAATGAGTGTGAATATTTGTTTGTTTGTTTGCTTTACGAGCTTATTTTATCATCAGTGGTATGTGGGAAATATGATACAAATAATTAATTACAGCTGCAAAAATCATGAGAAATATACTTAATCTTTTGTTGAAGTTACAGTGGTCTAAATGAAAAATCAGCACAGCACATGTTTTGTCTCAGCTACCGCTTTATTTACATATTATCATTTCTAACTGACTATACCTACGGGAAACATCATCATAATACAGGGTCGTTCCTTTGCACAACAAGGACATTTTCTTTGGTCCACGTGAGGCGTACGACTCGGAGTAACCTGTGTGAGAGAGGCTAATTATGAATCGGTATTTTCCTTTATTCTTTCGCTCGCAGTCTCTCATTCTTTTTTTCCCTATTCACCGTTTCCTCCCTTCAGATTTTTTTTCACCTTTTCTCTCATTCTCACTTTCCGTCAGTTTGTCTCTCTACATCTCTCCTGTTCTTCTTTTTCTTCCCCTTCATGTATCTCCCTCTCCTCTCTCTTTCCTTATATACAGACTATAAACTTACAAAGTATTATAATTCATGCAAAGTTGACCATAAAACAATGAAATCCTGAAGCATATTTACGATTCAGTTCCATGTCGTAGCAACCAAAGCGATCACACACAACACCCGCCTGGCACAGAGGACTCCAAAATTCATGTTCTGAGATCGAAAGAAAAAGCGTTACAAAACAAGGAATAATACTGATCACTTTACAAAGACTGTCTCTCTTCCTGTTATCAATATATGCATATGACCTTGTAATCAATTCTATAAGCAACCTCTTATTATCAAAAAATTATTTAATCTACTTCATTTCTTTATTCCATCAATTAAGATCAAATACTCACGGTCCAAAGCGAGACAGTATTCGTCGTCAAAGGTCACATTAACGTCAGTCGAGTAACCAAGCAAGGTCACCAGTTCACGGTAGTATTCGCTGCATCTGAGGCGTACTTGGTGTGCTTCGTCTGCTATAACAAG